AAACTAAATGATGGAACTTTTCTTTTGTGACAATAACACAACGTCCCACAACTTCTTGAAAATGTAATATAGTCAGTCTAAAACTTACACTACAAAAAGTCATCTATACAGAAAAGAAAATGATTTAACAAATTACAAATAAACAAAAATCGAAGAACGACGAAATACTTAATGTTAGGGAGACGATAATATTACATAATTAATATATATCAGAAATATAAGTACTAGGAACTTTAAGATTTCTATTTTGTTTGGTCCTCCTTAACATTTGAAACCGAACCATATTTCTACTACGAGTTGATACATATATACAGGAACATACGATAAATATCAATAAAAAACTGTCATTCTAATTCCTACTATACACTATAACTAGGGCTATAACTCGGTTTATTTATTATCTATAAAGGTTTTACAAAAATCAACGAAGAACAGCCACTGGTAAAATATATATCTCAAGACCCTGCTTATTGTGTGACAGCTCTTTGTCAATTCATTTTCTCGCATTATTATTACAGAAAATACATGCTAGAAAAAAAAAACCCTTCAAAATAAGGGCGCTTTTCTCATAGTTACAACGTAAGTATAGTATGTGTTTCTAGTACGATATTAATGAACGACTATGTACAAATGTTGTATGATTCACTCGGGATGATCGTAATTTCAACTGATAATGACACGGCGTACAAAGTGATTAAAAGTACAGAAACAATCGTGGAAGACGGTTATCACGATTAAGGAAAAGATAATACAGTGAATTCTGTTTTTACGGCGAATCGGCGCACAAATTACATTCTATTTATTAGCAATACTAGAATGGTTCTTGAATCTTGAAAGTGTGCAGAATAATATAATAAAGAAGAAACTGTACAGTAGATAAAATTCTGTACATTGTTTCTTCTTTGTTAGGCTGCGTAAAATTGAAGTCGTGTAAAAGTAGAATTGGACGCATTTATTATGTGAAAAGTTTCTGAAACTTCCAGTCCAAATCGAATTTTTATAATCGTGATAATAATTTAGTTGCGACAAAACATAAAAAGCAATTAAATAACGACAGCGGCATTTTTGTAAAAATTTACACTGAGATCTAAAATCGGACGTTATTTTATTTCGTATAGATGGCGAGATGAAGTGTAGTCGAGATAAGGGTGCCTCAAACTAATCTTGATAAAAGTTTGATGAGTGTACGCAATTTACATTAGTAAGTTTGTTTGAGGTACATTGCACAATACTGAACATTCAACTAGTCCATAAAACGGTCGGTAAAAAAATTGACATGGTGTCATTCTTGCTTTACCATAACGTTCGGATTTAATGAGTGTCCGGTGGAAGTGACCAGGGATAATGGACTGGCCGATAACGAGTTTGCGATAGCAAACATGGAACTATTGCCGTTGTTGACCGAACATGGAGATCCCATGGCGGCCGTGGGCGGGTTAATTCTCTTTTCCTTCTGTCGTCGATTGCAAAACCATACTCTTACCACTTCTTTTTCCATACATAGACCATCCGCAAGCATCGATATTTCTTCGGAAGTTGGTTTCGGATTTTGCAAGAAGGCCTTCTCTAGAGCCACTCTGACGCTCGTCTCTATTGACGTCCGCTTTTTGCGTCTTCTACCTATAGCTTCTGGTGTAGTCATTGGATTACTTAATTGTCCGGGGTTGGTCAGAGTACTATCCGCATCTTCCAACCATTTTTGTAGTAGAGGCTTTAATTTGCACATATTTTTAAAACTAAGGTTTAACGCTTCAAATCGGGATATCGTAGTCTGAGAGAAGTCGTTACCGTACAGTTTTCCCATTGCAAGGCCCACGTCTCCTTGTGTAAAACCTGTAAAAAAATGGAAATCAGTAATAACACTTCAACTACATTTTTAAATTTTCTTATTAATAAACCAAGTTGTCATGCAACCCATTAAGCAGTTCTGTGTGCGTGATGTATACTCTTCTTTAGAAATAAAATAAAATAATTCTCAAGGTTATAATGAAATTTCGCAGTTATAATCGATAGACGTTGTTAAGTCGTTATGCAACTGTTTCAGTACATGCGTAAAGCAGGAAGCATTTAAGAGCTTTTTAGTTTATGAAAATTAGGAATTAATAAAGAGTTATCAGCAGATATGCGCATTTCCGTATAATCCCAATGTAATTAGCTTAAAGTTCCATTTATTATTCTTTCTGAAAGATGCTTTGGTAACGAGATATCAACCCTTAAAGTACGAGTAAAAACAGTAGGCAACCCGTCACGTTTTTCAGCGGCGAAGTATACACAATAAGGTAGTCTTAATAATGTTGATAGATTTTGCGACAGAGTAATTGTAAAATATTTTGTAATATTAAAAAAAAGGACAATTAGTCAGGTTGTGCCTTTTTTTATATATATATAAGGTTTATGAGAGTTCGTATTCATATTTCCCTAAATTTTCCCTAAAATGTTCTAAAAGAAAAAAATGTGAAAAGGACAGTGAATTAAAGTAGAAAAAATTGAAATCCGAATGCTACATCGAAATTTTAATTTTAAGCTTTTATTATCTTTTTTCGTGCTTGTAGTTAATAAAAAAAAAAACATTTTCAATATACGTTTTATAGGTAAATGTTGTATATTAACTTACCTAGTTTAATTCTCCTTTGTTTAAATGTTTTCGCGAACTGTTCTAATTCCTCAAGATCGGTGGTTTCCTCTGGAGAAGGTTCCAAAATCCTTGAAGGTGTCTTTAAATGTTGAGGTGTCAGGCCCCCTGATCCTGGAGTGCTCGGGGTGAGCAGACTTGGGGGAATATGGGCGTTATTTGGAGGTGTTGATTGAGTTTGTGATATTTGAGTGTTTTGCTGAATATTATTACTATGTCGATTTTGGTGATGCTGGGGTTGTTGAGATTGCTGGTGCTGCTGCTGTTGTTGCTGATGATGATGACTTTGCTGTTGAGCTTTTTGAAGCTGCTGAAGTTGTTGAGCTGCTTGAGCAATTTGTTGAACCTGGAAGGAATCGTTAAACATTAGGAAAATTGATAAATAAATCAAAGTAATTTATTCTAGTCCTTCCTTTTAAATCGTCAAAAGTATTATCGTTTATTTTTGCTACACGTTTTGACTTCTAAAACTCATGCAAAGTATTCCAAGCACAACACAACAGGAAACACACCTGCATCGAATGGGGTACTCTGGACGACAATCCAGAACGCGGAAATCCTTGGAGAAAGCCCTTCAACAATTACCATTATGTTACCAAGTTTATGTGCGAATTAGAAAGTGTTATCAATGGGAAATCAAATTTTTTGATAGGTCTTTATGGCACAGTACATTTACCATTTTTTCCCTTCCTTAATATATCAGTTCCAAAATTAGGGTTCTAAACGTTTATTAATTACAAAAACTCAACCGAAGCTTTGGCTCTTAGTACCTATAACGAATCTTCCTCAAGGCTTTAATAAGAGCTGAAGTGATAACTACATTAGAGTTACAAATCTAGGTTTTTCTACTAGCAGCTGCATGATTTTTAACTATAATGTAGCTGCAACTTCATCTTATATTATAACCCTGAGGAATTCTCAAACAAGGAGGCGAAACATCGGATAAATTTTTGTAATTAATAAACCTTGTTTTTTTGGTTTCACTTCCATAACTGCATTATATAGGTAAACGCAACTGATAATTAATCAAAGGTTTTATTCGTAATGAGTGAGATCTTTTTTGTATAAATTACGAAAGGTACTAAATGGGATTAAGTATTAAACAGTGGCTCTTGAATCATAAACAGGTAAGGAAATATGTAAGGAAATATGTAGATTTAGTATCTCCGAAATAAAAGATGTGACTGACCTGATTTTGTAAAAAGAACTGCGCTTGTGGATTGAGTTGATTCCCGTGACTTTGCTGCAACATCGCAAGTTGCTGCAATTGTTGAAGACTAGTTGGATTTGAGAATGCTTGAAGGCTACCAAGCATTTGAAGGGGGTTACCTAAAATACTACCGAGTCCTCCCAGAGCCGCAAGGGCGGCTCCGACTCCACCGGGCGTGGGTGCCGATACCATCGATGAATTTGGAGATGCTGCTCTTGGTGGATCCCCTGTGACCTGCAGGAAACAATATTCTAACTACCGTTGGGACAAACATTTGCAATTATTTCATATTTTTCTTTTTATTTTCGTTGAAATTTTTATCAAATTTTCAGAGTAATGTAAATGTATTTTTTTGATTAAAATAGGTTTCTTTTGTGCACGACATAAAATGTGTGGGAGTAGAGCAAGGTTCGAAGGAAGTATAACAAAAAACGTTAATAAATTTCATTGTACCTTTCGGCTGTTTATTCAATCCGCCTTTCTCCGCAATCTTCTTGTTCAATAAATATAAATCTGAAGTTTGCTAATCCCAAACGTACGCGAGTCACTTCAGCCCCTCAAAAAGTTGAAATGTTTAAACTCTTTGGGGAAAACAGTTCTAAACATCCCCTTTGTGTATGCTCCTTTAATTTGATTTGTAATCGATAAACTCGTTTCTTCGAAGACGAATGTTCTTTTAACTTTTTGATACTTTTTTATAGTCTCTCCAAGTTATTTACTCTACATTTGATTCGAAATATATTATTAAANTTATATTACAAACAATAAATATACAACAGATAAACTAGTAACTGTGATGTATATAACTACGATATATGAACGAGAATATTAATGTTCCATTTTTTATTCTCTGTTTTGCGTGTGTGTGGCTAGTAAACTAATTGTTAAAAGAGGGAAATTTCAGAATAATTTTTGCTGACTACCGTGACTTCGGAATCGCTTTTTATTAGCGAAAGGACGAATTTTTTTTTTGTTTACAAAACCTCAGATAAAGAAAACCCAAAACAAATACAAACCTTACAAGATCACACTCTATCTTATTCGTTGTTTATGATGTAGTACAGCCAGGGGGGCTGTCCGGGTCCGAGTCAATACTGCTATCTCCAGAACCAGAACGTGACGAACTCGGAGAACTGCTTGAAGAATTATTAACACTGTTGGAAGAATTATTAACGAATTGTATAAAGTCCTCTGCCCCAGAAGCAGCTGCTCTCTGTGAATAAATAATTTAATAATATATTGATGCCTGCATGTGTTTTCCTTTCATTTTTACCTGTCTGTTTGAATTTCTAAGATGACGCCAGAGCATCCATAACATTTGACTTTCGTTTATGTCGGTGGAAGATGACCAACTTGCACGGGCTTTGCTGTTGGATTTTATGGCGTCTGCGATTCCCGTCATGGGCGGGTCGTCATCTCTAGATGGCACCCACAATTTTACGTCCCAATCTAAACCACTCGTACATAGAAAAGGTAAACTTGGATGAGGTTCTAACACATTTACCTTGAAAAAAACATAAGTTATCTTTTTTAAGATAATAAAAAAAAAATTACAAAAGGAAAATACAGATTAATTAATTATAAGTGTTATAACTTAAGTTATACATATTTGAAATTGTGTATTGGTAAAAAAAAATTAACTTACAACACCATTATCATCGGCCAACATGAAATTGACGATCGCTTCAGTGTTCTTTTCCCAGAAGAAAACGTTACCACAATCGGAACCACTCAAAATAAATTCCGACTTTGGGCCGAAATAATTAACTCCCTTTATTGTGGCGCCATTACGATGACCCTGGTACTGGTGTGCAAAAGTACCCGGTTCACCATTCGTGTCAAAGATATAGATATCATCGTCGTTATACGAGGCCAAAATTTCTGAGCCATTGTAGTTGTATATTGCACATGTCACGTGCACGCTTAAGTATGAATCCGATTTCTATTTGGAGTTGTAAAAAAAAAGTAAGGAGTATTAAAAAGGTAAATTTTCTACTTAATTTTGATTCAAGCTTTAGGTTCGCTTTCATTTTTACTACCATTAATTATACTTACTTCAACCTTCTTAGCATAATACGTATTAAGTGGTGGGCAATTTTCGCTACATTTTCTTTGGTCGTAAGTTCGTACTATGTGGTCTCGTCCTCCCACACAAAACTCATGACTTTTCAAGGGGTGAGAATTGACACTGTACAATGCCACTTCGCGTACATCGCTTTTTACACTCACAACTCTAAAGTTTTAATTATTTTAAGTAAGAAAAAACTAAAAGAATTGATTGTACCTTTCGGGTTTCGAATTTCGTACGTCGTGGCTTAAGACAAGACCATCTTCACCACAACTTAGCACAATATGAGGTTGGTCTGGTAGGATGGCTAGTTTGTGGCAAGGACCTCTATGTGAACCCAACTTCCGGCTACTACGCAAACCATCTTGAGTGGAAACTTGTGCCAAACGAACCTAGAAGCAAATGTAACACAAAGTAACAACAAATTTTTCAAGAATTTCTATATAAAATAAAAACGAATTAATAAGAAAAAGTTTTTTACTCTGCATTACAAAATTTAATATGCATGAATTAGGACTTCTATTAAACATTTTTCAAAAATAACTACAATAAAGATGTTATTACCTGACCATCTCTTGCACTGGTAACGAGATGCAAGTCCCCACTCAAAGGTAGAAACTTGCTTTGAAACACATTTCCCCTGTGTTTTGTATCAAATGAGAGCAGTGGAACCCCCCTTTTCCAGTCCCAGATGACACATTTTAAGTCATCTGATCCACTGGCTAATAAGTCACCATTGGGATGGAAATTTAAGCTGTTAACACAGCCTTCATGTTGCTCTAACTTTTTCATTAATTTCAGACGTTGAACGCAATGTAAGGAACCATAGCTCCTTTGTTGAAACAAAACAGGGTTTTGTTTGCGAATGGTACTCCCCATTTGACGATTTATAATCTCAGGGATGATAAACCAGTTGTGTTTTGGCTTTTCTTTCTTTAGCACAGCCGGTTCTTCGCCATCTGACTCATCAGAATCAGTATCTTCTATCACAGTTGATAAGCTGTCTAAGTCAGAGATGTTTGATGCACCATCTCGTTCAGAATCAGTTCTTTGACTGTTGAATTGATGTATAGAAGGCAAAGATCTAAGTTCATCTCCACTACAATTTTTAAACAAGTAAGAACTAATAATATTATTATATAATTAAGAACAAGAAGAACCATTAGCTATTGTATATCCATAAAAAAGATACTGCTACTGGATATTTACCTGCCATTTTCACTTGAGCGAGTTGATTCATCATCTACAATAATTCGTCTGTAATTTCTAGTTGATGAATTGAATCTTCTGGGAAAACCACTAATGATAGGACTTGTATTATTACTAGGTGTTTCTTGTTCTTCTGCAGCATTTGCATTTGTATCTTCTTCAGTATTATTTTGGGAGGTGGTGTCCTTACTAGTGCAGGCAGAATCGGTTGAATTTTCATTAAAATTACAATTATCAGTCTTTAAACGTTTTGCATTTTCAATATGATTCACATGATTGGCTGTTTCTTGAGTTTTTTCAACATCTTCATCAGACATGGTTTCATCCATATTTATTCTAAAAATAAAAACAAAAACGTAATTAAACCTTTATAAACATAAATTAATATTTGAGTCTTGCTAATTCTTACGTAGGACAACTCCAATTAGTTTTTATAAAACGTAAATCTAAATTAACTTCAAAATAATATACATTTATAGGTTTTATGAGCTGTCAAATTCTGAACTTATCAAAATAAAAATATTCCAATTTCAACACAAATTGTTATCGTACACATAATAATTTAAAAAAAGGACAAAATGGATGTCAAACAATACACCTACTAATTTATTTTTGTTGCAGAGAAATGAGTAATTTTATCCAGTAAAATTTTCTCTCCTAAGCTACGTCTTCAAAAACCTTAACATTAACAGGTTTTATACACTAGTAAGTAAATTATTATTATTAGATGTTGAACTGTTATAATTCAATGTTTGATAGGTAAATTACAAGTTTATGATAAATTAGGAAAATGTAAAACATTTTTTGCGGAATAAACTAGAACAAAATACTTTTCCGTAAGATTTTCACCCAATATACACATTCACACATATTTGCACATATTAATAATAATAGTTTTCTTTACACTTTTCACGCAGAAACCATAGAAACAGATAAATCATTGCAAATGAATGAAATGAAACGAGGAAGTGTCTTCTGCATCTGTGCACGGTCCGATAGTTCTTAAATTTTTTAAAAGCACGGTCCAACCGCATATATTATGTTTAAACATACAAAAGGAAGGACATGGACACGATACTATTCTAGGAATCTAATTTTCTCAGATTATTGACTTGTTATCAGTAAACTACCATTGGTCGGGCACATTTTATACACATGCTTATAAAAATAATTACAAGTAACTTTTACCTTACCCTCATACATGAAATGATCATTTAAGCAATATTACAGCATCAATTCTTTCAGCTTGATTTAAAAAATAAATGTATGTATATACTTTTCTGATATAGGGGAATCCCATAAATGTTTGTAGTACATTATGAAGAGAAAAGGTTATTTTCGTTGGAGATTATATTTAGTTATTAATGTTTGATAAACTTTAGCTACATAAAAATGATTTATATGGGATCAACCAATTAACGTTTTTTCAGAGCTACAAACATAGTTGTACTACGTGTACAAATAGAGTAAGTAATAAATGGTTGGTATAGGTACGAATAATTTCTTTAATGAAAATAATGTACACATTATTGCCTAGACCACCATGATAGTTAGGTATATAATACACATCAGATTATGACCTAACATTTACAATAAATACACTGCATTATTTCCATCAAACCGTCGAAATTAAATTATCACGTAAATTCACATTCTTCATCTTTTATACATAATTTTATGGATACTCATTGCAAATATTCTTATTATTTTAGGTTTTACATCCATTTCCGCTAAACACGATTTTTGATCTACATACACACATGCTTATACATCGTAACGAGTACATGTTACCATTTTAATTTTTTTTTTTTAATAATTAAATATCATATTATTATTATTATTAAAAGTGAATTCATGAATGATAGTAAATAATTACATCCATCGCCGGTTTCCTCGTTTTATTATTTTTTTCTTCTGATATGACACATTTACTTCGTTAGTGCGGATGTCTTAATGCTCACAGGTCAAAAAATATCTTTTTTATAAAAGCCTTATACTCCTGCGCCTCATCGTGTTATTACAGTTATGTATTTAACGCACTTTAATCTATTTTTTTTATTGGGATATGTATAAAAGTCACAAATATTTTTACCTTATTTTCTGAAATTCTGTGAACATTTAATAGCTTTTTAAAAGACAATAAAGTAGCGGTTAGCGATCATTTCTAATAGTAAAAAAGTGCTACTGTTAATTAAACAATTTTAGTAATATGAAATAAAAATCAACCGATTGTAACAAACAACTAATTTATAAGGTTGATTTTTATTTCTAAAACAAGAAACAATTTTATATCTAAGAAAAAATACAAAAAAATTCTAGATATTCTTTGTATTTTTTCTTGTACATGAAATAGTATCAGAGTATACATATAAAATAAATAACTGGAATGTAGTAATTAAAAATATAACATGGGATGAAAAGAATATTTGTTCAAAATGTAACCATAATCACATATAAAATTTAGACAATTATTTAGGTATTTTGTATTAAATTACTGAAATCGGTAGCAATTCTTTGTGAACTAATAGTAATGTAACAGATTATTCAACAGTTTTCCTTCCTTGAAAAGGTCACTACCATCTTTATACCTGAAGGAATAAGAACTATAATGAGCATTAAATAAATTTCAGTATTCTGATAAACTTATTAATAATAAAACAACATGTGTCACATAAGGAATGTTAATATTTAATTAATCTTATTTTATTACGAAATTCTCCATAACTTTAGAAAAAAAAGTATTTGAAATTACTTGTGTTGAATAAATACAGGGTGTCAAATTACCAATTAATGTTGGACTATAAAAGTCACTATTATTAAGAATCTTTTAGAAAAAAAAGTGAGTACGGACAAGGAGAGACGGGAAGAAAAACGGGCATAATAAGACCTTAAGTAAATTACTGTTTGCAAATAATTCAGGATGTAGGACGTTATAGTTTTTCGGAAATGAGAATATTGACTAAGGGTAGAAAGAAGTCAGTCTTTGAATTGACCACCTTATCATAATATTGCTTGTTCT